GTAAGAATATCCACCGCCCCGTGTCGTCACGTGCGTGTCGTAAGAATATCCACTGCCCCGTGTCGTCACGTGCGTGTCGTAAGAATATCCACTGCCCCGTTTCGTCACGTGCTTGTCGTAAGAATATCCACTGCCCCGTGTCGTCAAGTGCGTGTCGTAAGAATATCCACTGCCCCGTGTCGTCACGTGCGTGTCGTAAGAATATCCACTGCCCCGTGTCGTCACGTGCGTGTCGTAAGGATATCCACTGCCCCGTGTCGTCACGTGCTTGTCGTAAGAATATCCACTGCCCCGTGTCGTCACGTGCGTGTCGTAAGAATATCCACTGCCCCGTGTCGTCACGTGCGTGTCGTAAGAATATCCACTGCCCCGTGTCGTCACGTGCGTGTCGTAAAAATATCCACTGCCCCGTGTCGTCACGTGCTTGTCGTAAGAATATCCACTGCCCCGTGTCGTCACGTGCGTGTCGTAAGAATATCCACTGCCCGGTGTCGTCACGTGCGTGTCGTAAAAATATCCACTGCCCCGTGTCGTCACGTGCTTGTCGTAAGAATATCCACTGCCCCGTGTCGTCACGTGCGTGTCGTAAGAATATCCACTGCCCCGTGTCGTCACGTGCTTGTCGTAAGAATATCCACTGCCCCGTGTCGTCACGTGCGTGTCGTAAGAATATCCACTGCCCCGTTTCGTCACGTGCGTGTCGTAAGAATATCCACCGCCCCGTGTCGTCACGTGCGTGTCGTAAGAATATCCGCTGCCCCGTGTCGTCACGTGCGTGTCGTAAGAATATCCACTGCCCCGTGTCGTCACGTGCTTGTCGTAAGAATATCCACTGCCCCGTGTCGTCAAGTGCGTGTCGTAAGAATATCCACTGCCCCGTGTCGTCACGTGCGTGTCGTAAGAATATCCACTGCCCCGTGTCGTCACGTGCGTGTCGTAAGAATATCCACTGCCCCGTTTCGTCACGTGCTTGTCTTAAGAATATCCACTGCCCCGTGTCGTCACGTGCGTGTCGTAAGAATATCCACTGCCCGGTGTCGTCACGTGCGTGTCGTAAGAATATCCACTGCCCCGTGTCGTCAAGTGCTTGCCGTAAGAATATCCACTGCCCCGTGTCGTCACGTGCGTGTCGTAAGAATATCCACTGCCCCGTGTCGTCACGTGCGTGTCGTAAGAATATCCACTGCCCCGTGTCGTCACGTGCGTGTCGTAAGAGTATCCACTGCCCCGTGTCGTCACGCGCGTGTCGTAAGAATATCCACTGCCCCGTGTCGTCACGTGCTTGTCGTAAGAATATCCACTGCCCCGTGTCGTCACGTGCGTGTCGTAAGAATATCCACTGCCCCGTGTCGTCACGTGCTTGTCGTAAGAATATCCACTGCCCCGTGTCGTCACGTGCGTGTCGTAAAGAATATCCACTGCCCCGTGTCGTCGCATGCGTGTCGTAAGAATATCCACTGCCCCGTGTCGTCACGTGCGTGTCGTAAGAATATCCACTGCCCCGTGTCGTCACGTGCTTGTCGTAAGAATATCCACTGCCCCGTGTCGTCACGTGCTTGTCGTAAGAATATCCACTGCCCCGTGTCGTCACGTGCGTGTCGTAAGAATATCCACTGCCCCGTGTCGTCACGTGCGTGTCGTAAGAATATCCACTGCCCCGTGTCGTCACGTGCGTGTCGTAAGAATATCCACTGCCCCGTGTCGTCACGTGCGTGTCATGAGAATATCCACTGCCCCGTGTCGTCACGCGCGTGTCGTAAAAATATCCACTGCCCCGTGTCGTCACGTGCGCGTCGTAAGAATATCCACTGCCCCGTGTCGTCACGCGCGTGTCGTAAGAATATCCACTGCCCCGTGTCGTCACCTGCGTGGCGTAAGAATATCCACTGCCCCGTGTCGTCACGTGCGTGTCGTAAGAATATCCACTGCCCCGTGTCGTCACGTGCGTGTCGTAAGAATATCCACTGCCCCGTGTCGTCACGCGCGTGTCGTAAGAATATCCGCTGCCCCGTGTCGTCACGTGCGTGTCGTAAGAATATCCACTGCCCCGTGTCGTCACGTGCGTGTCGTAAGAATATCCACTGCCCCGAGTCGTCACGCGCGTGTCGTAAGAATATCCACTGCCCGGTGTCGTCACGTGCGTGTCACGTAAAAATATCCACTGCCCCGTGTCGTCACGCGCGTGTCGTTAGAATATCCACTGCCCCGTGTCGTCACGCGCGTGTCGTAAGAATATCCACTGCCCCGTGTCGTCACGCGCGTGTCGTAAGAATATCCACTGCCCCGTGTCGTCACGTGCGTGTCGTAGAGAATATCCACTGCCCCGTGTCGTCACGTGCGTGTCGTAAGAATATCCGCTGCCCCGTGTCGTCACGTGCTTGTCGTAAGAATATCCACTGCCCCGTGTCGTCACGTGCGTGTCGTAAGAATATCCACTGCCCCGTGTCGTCACGTGCGTGTCGTAAGAATATCCACTGCCCCGTGTCGTCACGTGCGTGTCGTAAGAATATCCACTGCCCCGTGTCGTCACGTGCTTGTCGTAAGAATATCCACTGCCCCGTGTCGTCACGCGCGTGTCGTAAAAATATCCACTGCCCCGTGTCGTCACGTGCTTGTCGTAAGAATATCCACTGCCCCGTGTCGTCACGTGCGTGTCGTAAGAATATCCACTGCCCCGTGTCGTCACGTGCGTGTCGTAAGAATATCCACTGCCCCGTGTCGTCACGCGCGTGTCGTAAGAATATCCACTGCCCCGTGTCGTCACGCGCGTGTCGTAAGAATATCCACTGCCCCGTGTCATCACGCGCGTGTCGAAAGAATATCCACTGCCCCGTGTCGTCACGCGCGTGTCGTAAGAATATCCACTGCCCCGTGTCGTCACGCGCGTGTCGTAAGAATATCCACTGCCCCGTGTCGTCACGGGCGTGTCATGAGAATATCCACTGCCCCGTGTCGTCACGCGCGTGTCGTAAGAATATCCACTGCCCGGTGTCGTCACGTGCGTGTCATGAGAATATCCACTGCCCCGTGTCGTCACGCGCGTGTCGTAAGAATATCCACTGCCCCGTGTCGTCACGTGCGTGTCGTGAGAATATCCACTGCCCCGTGTCGTCACGCGCGTGTCGTAAGAATATCCACTGCCCCGTGTCGTCACGCGCGTGTCGTAAGAATATCCACTGCCCCGTGTCGTCACGTGCGTGTCGTAAGAATATCCACTGCCCCGTGTCGTCACGCGCGTGTCGTAAGAATATCCACTGCCCCGTGTCGTCACATGCGTGTCGTAAGAATATCCACTGCCCCGTGTCGTCACGCGCGTGTCGTAAGAATATCCACTGCCCCGTGTCGTCACATGCGTGTCGTAAGAATATCCACTGCCCCGTGTCGTCACGCGCGTGTCGTAAGAATATCCACTGCCCCGTGTCGTCACGCGCGTGTCGTAAGAATATCCACTGCCCCGTGTCGTCACGTACGTGTCGTAAGAATATCCACTGCCCCGTGTCGTCACGTCGCGTGTCATGAGAATATCCACTGCCCCGTGTCGTCACGCGCGTGTCGTAAGAATATCCACTGCCCCGTGTCGTCACGCGCGTGTCGTAAGAATATCCACTGCCCCGTGTCGTCACGCGCGTGTCGTAAGAATATCCACTGCCCCGTGTCGTCACGCGCGTGTCGTAAGAATATCCACTGCCCCGTGTCGTCACGTGCGTGTCGTAAGAATATCCACTGCCCCGTTTCGTCACGCGCTTGTCGTAAGAATATCCACTGCCCCGTGTCGTCACGCGCGTGTCATGAGAATATCCACTGCCCCGTGTCGTCACATGCGTGTCGTAAGAATATCCACTGCCCCGTGTCGTCACGCGCGTGTCGTAAGAATATCCACTGCCCCGTGTCGTCACATGCGTGTCGTAAGAATATCCACTGCCCCGTGTCGTCACGCGCGTGTCGTAAGAATATCCACTGCCCCGTGTCGTCACGCGCGTGTCGTAAGAATATCCACTGCCCCGTGTCGTCACGTACGTGTCGTAAGAATATCCACTGCGCCGTGTCGTCACGCGCGTGTCATGAGAATATCCACTGCCCCGTGTCGTCACGTGCGTGTCGTAAGAATATCCACTGCCCCGTGTCGTCACGCGCGTGTCGTAAGAATATCCACTGCCCCGTGTCGTCACGCGAGTGTCGTAAGAATATCCACTGCCCCGTGTCGTCACGCGCGTGTCGTAAGAATATCCACTGCCCCGTGTCCTCACGCGCGTGTCGTAAGAATATCCACTGCCCCGTGTCGTCACGCGCGTGTCGTAAGAATATCCACTGCCCCGTGTCGTCACGCGCGTGTCGTAAGAATATCCACTGCCCCGTGTCCTCACGCGCGTGTCGTAAGAATATCCACTGCCCCGTGTCCTCACGCGCGTGTCGTAAGAATATCCACTGCCCCGTGTCGTCACGCGCGTGTCGTAAGAATATCCACTGCCCCGCGTCGTCACATGCGTGTCGTGAGAGGCGACAGAAGGAAACTGAAGCAGAAGATGGGCAGCAGCATCTTTCTGATAAAAACGCAAAATGATAAAACCATTCGGCCGCCGGCCCGCCCGCCTAGCGTGGTAAATTTGACAAAACCTACCTAATTATTTCTTATTTTTACGCAAACACTACACATTTAAATAAAACTAGTTTTTATGGATTATATCGCATATACTAACTTATTTTATATTCCCAATGTTTCGAGCACTTTTGTCAAACATAAAAACTTATAAAAGGTTAAAAACAGCTCAACAAATAAAACTCTTATACCTACATCAGGTGAGCCGCATGCTCGGTTACCCCCTCCCCCATAAAAATTTATTTCCCTCTGTAGCCTCTTATGACACCCACGGGATGATATCGGATAGTGGATATTTTTACACCGCCACTACAGGGTAACATTACATTTAATTTTAAAATAATAAATTATTTCTTTCACAATAATATTTACTTTCTTAGACTAATGAATGTCATCTTTTCAGGTCTCGAGGAGTAGAGATGCCAGGAGCCGTGGAGAAACTTGACAACTTGTTATGTATAACTCGGACTATACACCCAAGTGTGTGGGCAATAAATTTGCTGTGTATATGACCAATAAGAGTAGGCCGGTAAAATACATGTCCTATAAATATATCATCGAAGTATATAGAGGTAGTTGCTAAATCGGTATTTAATAGGAACAAATCGCCTTAAAATTATTATTGCAGAAGGTTTTAGTAAAATGTTCATATGGTGAAATTATCGTACATTAATGTTCGAACTCTTACCACAAGACCTGTAAATAATATTAAATTCAATTAAATTGTAATTGTTACGTCACGCCACGTCACATTGTTATTCGTGCCTGTGAATATCGGAGCTATACGCTCCCAAGTGGTTTCAGAACTAAATCTGCAGCAACGAGCAGGATAATTAGTTCGCGAAACGTTTTGTTCGTTTCTTATATATATATATATATATATATATATATATATATATATATATATATATATATATATATATATATATATACGTTGACATTCGACCATTAACATTTGTGTTACTATTGGGGGTAAATACATCATTGTTAATTTTAATTTATAAAATAATGATTTCTTATATTTACGCGAACACTATACATTGATTAAAACTACTTTTACGGATTTTATCGCGTTTTATTCATAAAATAATTATGTGTAATATGTAAAAGTTTTATCAATAAAACGCGATAAAATCCGTAAAAGTAGTTTTAATTAATTTATAAAGTTGATATGAAATAAATAAAAATGTTAATGTTTTATAATTCTTGGCTTAGATTAAGTTGTTACCTTACGTAATTTACGTTTAACTTAATAGTAAAATTGTCTCAGAACAACGTTAGTTAGATGGGGACTCGTAGCCTCGTAGCAACTGCTACGAGCGCAAGATCCTTTTTAAATTATGCTCGTAGTACCAAAATAAATTGTATTTGTAACTTTTTATTAATTAGAGTAAAAAATATGAATTAAAAATGTACTAACACTGATGGCGTAGAGCAGTAGCTACATTGCAAATGTTAAGCGAGGGTGCTTTTCTTAAATATTGCTCAATGCTTTTATGGTGAATTTGTACTGAAATGAACTTTATCATTTATACATAAATACAAATAAAATTGAAGTGTCTGTCTGTAATATTGAAGTAACTTCTTTCAATCTCAGATGTTATTTGCTTGCATTGAACACATTAATAACCTGTTACAAGATGTTTGTCTGTCTGTCCGCGCTCGTCTTCGGAGCGGCTGAACCTATTTTGATGAAACTTTACGAGCGGATAGAAAACAATGCCAGCTAGAACCTTACTATATTTTATCTACTAAAATAGACAAAAAAAAAAACGAAAAATTGATGAAGTCTATGATTTAAGCTTATATTAAATCCAAATAACGCCACATTAATAATTCCCACCCAGGCCAAGCCGGGGACTCGTCGTCAGTTTATCAATAAACTAAATGTGTCTTAGTTCTATCCGTAAATCGTTATTATTTAAAAAATAATATCTACTCAGACTGAAACATAATAAATACATGCACATTTCAGTGCACGTATTATATACTACCCGAATAGTAGATACAGTAATGTAATTACACACCGCATTCACCACCGGGATCTACATGTTACTAGTTACTGATATACAGACATAAAAATAAAGATCAATAATTAACGAACATACACTTTCGTAGTTAAGCGATTAAATGCTATCTGCGTCATCGAAAAAAATCTTATCATTACAAATATTTTAGAACGATATTAATTTACTATCGACATCAATTTGAAAAGTTGAAGAACACTGAAATTGTATTTCCTTAAAATTCTAAAACAACGATGTTGCGAAAAGACTATTCCTTAAGTCCTTTCCCACTAGCATCCCTATTATCTTTATTTTGAAGCTTCAATACAACAAATTTTTGTGGTACAACAATGTTTACAAACACTGGGATAAAAAAGCGTAACAAGAAGAAGGAGATCTAAGGCAGTAGAAAAAAGGTCACGTTATGTTAAAAAGTTACTTTTACTTTACAATTTGTTCCACATCAACTATCTGTAGGAGAATGTTTATTACACTCTCATCTGGGGATGGAAATATCGTTTAGTGGCTAAATTATGTATTTAAGTACGCTCTTGTTATTTATCATTCTCAGTTAGTCCGTTACAGCCCAAAGATGTCCATCAGCGCTCCTGCTGTACGATGAATTTGCCTCAGAACTTCCAGGCGAAGTGTCGATCATAGTCATCGCCGCGCCGGTCTAAATATTTTACATCATATCCAAGGTCATGACGTCTTTCTTACCTTTTCAGTCGCCTTTTCTTCTTTTGTCCGTCGTTATGCAGCTAACTATTGTTATTTGTTCATATCTTAGTAATATATAAATTACAAATGTTTAATAAATTTGTTCGTAATTTTATTGCATCTTTTATTGCATACATATTACACATAATAGTTAATTATTGACTATTTTACTACATAATCGTCAACTACTAACTGAAAATAGAGAGAATGTGACATCTAGAGTGGGAGTGAAGACTCAGTGGCGTAGCAAGGGGGATGGGCAGGAGCGCTATGGCCCCGGGTGAGGGACTCAGTGGCGTAGCAAGGAGGATGGGCAGGAGCGCTATGGCCCCGGATGAGGGACTCAGTGGCGTAGCAAGGAGGATGGGCAGGAGCGCTATGGCCCCGGGTGGGCCCTGAGGGACTCAGTGGTGTAGCAAGGGGGATGGGCAGGAGCGCTATGGCCCCGGGTGAAGGACTCAGTGGCGTAGCAAGGGGGATGGGCAGGAGCGCTATGGCCCCGGGTGAAGGACTCAGTGGCGTAGCAAGGGGGGATGGGCAGGAGCGCTATGGCCCCGGGGGAAGAACTCAGTGGCGTAGCAAGGGGGCTGGGCTGGAGCGCTATGGCCCCGGGTGAAGGACTCAGTGGCGTAGCAAGGGGGATGGGCAGGAGCGCTATGGCCCCGGGTGAAGGACTCAGTGGCGTAGCAAGGGGGATGGACAGGAGCGCTATGGCCCCGGGTGAAGGACTCAGTGGCGTAGCAAGGGGGATGGGCAGGAGCGCTATGGCCCCGGGTGAAGAACTCAGTGGCGTAGCAAGGGGGATGGGCAGGAGCGCTATGGCCCCGGGTGAAGAACTCAGTGGCGTAGCAAGGGGGGATGGGCAGGAGCGCTATGGCCCCGGGTGAAGGACTCAGTGGCGTAGCAAGGGGGATGGGCAGGAGCGCTATGGCCCCGGGTGAAGGACTCAGTGGCGTAGCAAGGGGAGATGGGCAGGAGCGCTATGGCCCCGGGTGAAGAACTCAGTGGCGTAGCAAGGGGGGATGGGCAGGAGCGCTATGGCCCCGGGTGAAGAACTCAGTGGCGTAGCAAGGGGGGATGGGCAGGAGCGCTATGGCCCCGGGTGAAGAACTCAGTGGCGAGCAAGGGGGATGGGCAGGAGCGCTATGGCCCCGGGTGAAGGACTCAGTGGCGTAGCAAGGGGGGATGGGCAGGAGCGCTTTGGCCCTGGGTGAAGGACTCAGTGGCGTAGCAAGGGGGATGGGCAGGAGCGCTATGGCCCTGGGTGAAGAACTCAGTGGCGTAGCAAGGGGGATGGGCAGGAGCGCTATGGCCCCGGGTGAAGAACTCAGTGGCGTAGCAAGGGGGGATGGGCAGGAGCGCTATGGCCCCGGGTGAAGAACTCAGTGGCGTAGCAAGGGGGATGGGCAGGAGCGCTATGGCCCCGGGTGAAGAACTCAGTGGCGTAGCAAGGGGGGATGGGCAGGAGCGCTATGGCTCCGGGTGAAGAACTCAGTGGCGTAGCAAGGGGGATGGGCAGGAGCGCTATGGCCCCGAGTGAAGAACTCAGTAGCGTAGCAAGGGGGGATGGGCAGGAGCGCTATGGCCCCGGGTGAAGAACTCAGTGGCGTAGCAAGGGGGATGGGCAGGAGCGCTATGGCCCCGGGTGAAGAACTCAGTGGCGTAGCAAGGGGGATGGGCAAGAGCGCTATGGCCCCGGGTGAAGAACTCGGTGGCGTAGCAAGGGGGATGGGCAGGAGCGCTATGGCCCCGGGTGAGGGACTTTAGTGAAAGGCAACAGCAACCTGTGCTACGCCACTGTTATAACCGGAACTTTGCCTCAAAGTGGAACCTTTATTGGAACCTATGTGAAGAAACATTATGGAATTTGGACACGGTTTTTGATCAGGGCTTAGGCAAATCTTCCGAATAATAACATCATTAAGTAGGCGCTTGGCAGACTGATTGATTGCCAACCCACCTGCCAGACGTGGCGACACTACGATCTTTTGTCATTTTTATTAATCGCTGATTCATTAAAGACCAGACACAACCTTCCTACAGATTGCCTCATAAGGCAGATATTTGCCTTAGTTGATACGCTTGGCAATCACGTTGTGACGTGGTGAAGCTGCAGCTATATCTGTAGCTGGTTGTAGCACGAATGAATCGGCGTGACCAAGGTAGGACCACGCTTTTACAAAATATCAGCGTGAAATAACAGCTTTATGGTGTTGTTTTTCGTATGATGAGTGTAGAAAATAGAAGACTTTTTTTACTGGTAACGAGGCATTCTATCTTCTCATGTCTTTTATTACCTCAAGGGCGGCAGTTCATGTACAATTTGATCCTTAATCAAGGATAGATGTATTATGTCTATGGGCCTCAGCATCCACTTACCATCTGTCTATAAGAGAAACCGCACTCTCTTCTATAGACAGATGCTATTAGGATGATTAGTTTTTGACGATAATGCGGACGGACAGCACCGTCTCCCACTTTATTTCGTTCTGTCGTCTCTCACGAGCCCGCGCGATGGTACGTGATGGTACGTGATGGTACGGGCAGTAGATTATATTCACTTGCGCTATCGCAACATGGTTTATTAAAAATGTCATATGTCCCATACGTCAATATCATACTGTTATTTTTAACTGAGAATCTGTAAGAGTTTTTAGTTTTTAGTCCCTCATGAGCATGGGTGCTGGAAAGCGCTCGAAACGTCGGGAATTAAAAATAATAGTAAAATAAACGTAAAAGTAGTTTTAATCAATGTGTAGTGTTCGCGTAAATATAAGAAATCAAGAGTTTTTAACTTTTAATAGCGTGTAGTGGCGGTGTAAGAATATCCACCATCCCATATCTCCCGGGGCGCGGCAGGAGCCGACAGGGGAAGCAGATTACGAGATGGGCAGCAGCGTGTTCTAACCAAGACTAAAAATAAAAAACAAACTGCGATTGCTTCCCAAGCAGGTCAAATATGGTAAATATGTTACTATAAAGCAATCGATGAGAGAGCATCAACCTTTATTTTAAGAATGTCATCCTGTGTCTTGCGGGTGTCGTCAGAGGCGATTGTGGGAAGTGACGGGAAACCAAATGACTTCCGAAAGATAGGAGGAGACGGTACACCGTGTGCTGTACCCCAGGCGTATAACACCCGGGCTGGGGACGGGCAGCAGTGTCTCGCGTGCGAGATGTCTGGTACTCGTACTACGGTCGCCGTACCGCTTGCCGAGCGTAACAATCAAGTAAATTATTTCTACAACGGGAAGACTCGGGTCTAACGGAGGACTTGTACTGGCCGCTAAACAAAATAAAATTTTAAAAATAAACTAATTGCACTACAATACGACAAAACGAAACTAAATGCTACGGAGTTTATCTTTGGACTAGTTAATTAATCAAATTGGTTGATATTACTGAAGCGTGTGGCGGCCGCGGCTTGCATGAGAGCCGACAGAGGGAGACTCAAACAGCAAATAGGCAGCAGCGTCTTCTTCACAACAACTCAACATTATAAACAACTGCGATTGCTGACTCGCAAAATCCGCCAGACGCAATAGTAGTTTTTTTACAGGCTGTAATAAAATGATGATTGAGAGCTTGAAATTTCACCGTAATATATAATTATTTTAATAAGAAATAATTAAAAAAAGTTTCCATGTGTAATTAAATTATCGCACAGATTAAGAGTAGTTTTTTATTTTTTATTTATTTAATTAATTATAATTTTACCATTTGCAGGTGTAAGTGACCCTATTTATAAGAGATTAAATAATTTTCTAATGGAATAAAGTTTGCCCACTTCAAATCGAACATTCAATGTAATAATGCCCGATATGAAGTGCACACCACACTAGGCGTTAACTTATTTTTGTACACTTGGTATGAAATGGTAATAGGTTTTTAAATGAAGAATTTTAACACTTGGATAAATAACTTTGATGATTTTATCTATGGAGTGATGTTTTTCTTTACGGATGTTTTGATTGCGGGGTTGAAAACAATATGTACCAGAGTGCTAGGGGCGGTCAGAGGGCGGAGTGCCGCGATGAGGGCTGCGACCCTCTGCCGCGTAAATACTGTGCATTCCCGGCGCACGCGCCACTTGCATACCTGCAGCCGAACATCCCTCTGCACTTGTTCCGTCAGTTCCGACAGTTGATTTATAAATTTAACTGAAATTTGTGTGATCTTCTAGACTTAAAAGAAAAAATTCGTCTTCGGGTTTTATATTAAAAGGAACCTTAGTGTAAACTGAGTGAATTAAAGATATCATTGGAGCACCAAAGAGGTCGAGGGGGCGAGGGGAAGGGGGAGGGGGCTTCAAGTGGAGCGAGTGCAGCAAGTGCACAGAGGACTTCGAATATAGTGTATGCAGAGTATAACAAGTGCAGAGCGTACTACGAGTGTAGCGCTTGCAACAAGTGCTGGGAGGCCTACGAGCTTAGTGCTTGCAGCACGTGAAGCGGAATGCGCACGCTTGCGCGCCGCGGGCTTCGTGCCGGCGCGACGTCCACAACGTTTGACGCCGCGCGCCTGAGTGCCGCGTTGCACCGCGCGCTCGTCGCACCACAAAACGTAGGTATAACCGACTATATTTTCTTTACACTGTTGTTGCCAAGGCTTTGGTCACCACTGAAAATCAGGGTTGTGATTTACCGCTACTCAAGCTGAGTGACGATCTTTTTGGCATGACTTACAACGTATCCGAAGACCGGGTTAAGTGGTGTGCCTTAGTAGAGGTCTATGTTCAGTTGTAGACGTCCGCAGGCTGGTAATTATGATGATGATGATGATGATGTTTTTATGTTTTTATATTTGTCGTTTTTAATATATTTGTATATATAGGAAACGTACTTCAATGTTTTGAAGACAAAATAAAGCGTGTCTTCTCACTTCTTACTACACGATTAAGTTGTGACTCTTTATTCTAAGATAAAGATGACAAGCACGCTATTCACCTAATAGTAAGCGCTTACTTGTGTCTTAAATACCTATGAAAAAGCAGATGCGTCTTCAACCAGAGTATTATATTATAATGTAATCATCAGTGAAATAGATTAACAGTTCTCGTCACTTACCTTATGAAACAGTAGCGTCATGCAGCTGTTTCACGCTGGGATTCTGTACGAGTGTGATCCTCTACTGGGCGAGGCAACACATTGGTGCGTATGACTCCGTGTGTGTTGGTACGAACCCTTCCTGTGCCGCTAACTAGCAGTTCTTTCAGTTTCATTTATTAATTATAAATTACAAAATATAAGGCATTTCATCTTGACCCTCAAGAGTTACAATAGATATGTGAGCTTGTTTAAAATTAGCTGCAAATTTCTACAGCACACAGTCGTACAGAATAAATAATAGTACACAATAGTCATTAATGGATTATACAAATATTTGGTCCCTTGTATTATTAAAAATAAAAAATATAATATTCACGAAAAAATATTATTAAAATACGATATGGAAATGAAGCTCGTAGATAGATGTACCTGCTAATAATTTTAATTACAAAAACTTCGACTTTTTTATTCGAGACACAAAATATACATATAGCAATGGTAAAAAATGAGTGGCTAGTGCAGTTCAGAAATACTTTCAGCTAACATCAAATAAATCCAAATTTCATCATGTTTTCACTGCATTAATACAACCATGATAATTTGTAAAAATAATTTTGTTCAATAATTCGAAAGCGCTAGAAATTATAACATAAAGCAGGAAACCTCTATTAAAATTGAAAGTTCAGTGGATGGTGTTGGGTGACGTTGAGTTTCGTTTGCACAGGTGTACGTGGAGCTGGACGCGGCGGGCGCGCTGTGCGCACGCGGCGGCGCGGAGGCTGCGGCGGTGAGCGCGCGCCTGGCGCCCGCCGCTCCCCACGCTGCGCTCCTGCTGTGTGCGCAGCACGACGGTGTGCTGCGACTGCGCCTGGCCGCCGCCGCGGCGCCGCTACACGAGCTGCAGCTGTGGTTCGACGACGCCGCGCTGGCGCTGCTTCACATACCATTCCTCTCCTTGAAGAACATTCAAGGTCATTATATTCACAGCATTCACTTACCATCAGGTGGACTGTGTGCTCGTTTCTCATCCTAATATTCTATAAAATAGGCATTTTGTACCACAACCTGCTGTGTTGCATGGTGCAATGCATTGCAATACCGGAGTATTTTCCCTGGGTTCAGCCATTGCGATTTTCGATTTCGATTATCGTCGAGAATCTAATTATCATAAAAGGTCACAATTCTGTGTAAAATACTTTTCTTCTGTATCTACTGAACAAATTAGTTAATTCATGGATTTATTTCTCGAGATTTTAATTTTACTATTTTGATGCAAATGAGTCAATATAGCGTAGCGTATACACATCAAACCATGACGCTAATAAGTTGGTTGTGGGGTATCGGCTTCCGCCATACTTTTAATTTATCATCCCACACGACACGACTTCAGACGAGAGCGTCTGGTATTTCTCGTGGTTCATTCAAGTCTAAATTTCCATTACGAAAGCGATTGTACCAAAGACGAACAGTGCGTTTGTTGGTCGTATCCGCTCCAAAGGCAGCATTGATATTGCCAGCTGTTTCTGCATTAGATTCACGTCGAAAACCGTATTCGAAAATTACTCAAATTTTTTATGTTAATTGCTTATGATTAACCAAATACGTAAGTAAGTAGAACTAAAAACAACTGAAAGTGAAACAATGGGAGGACATAAAAAATTTGTATTTCACTATAACTACTTAAAAGTATAAAAGCAGGATCGGTATAAAATCATTAAATAAACGTTGTGTTTATTAATGAAATGAAATGGTAAAATTATAAACGAAAGTTAAAACAACAAAAACTAAGACGTCTCCGTGGCGCAGTGGCTTAGCAATGAGTGCCTGCGCTGGCGGCCGCGGGTTCGAATTCCGCACGGAACAAGTATTTGTATGGCCTACAAATAATTGTTCCCGGTCTGGATGTTTGTCCTTGTGCAATTTATGTTTGTAAACTGCCTCCGCAATACAGGAGACAATCCTAATGTGGGGTAACGTTTTTAAAAAAAAAATAAGTGAAGTATGGAGGGACATTAATCTGAGATCGATTACTTGAGTTGTTGTTGATATTTTGTATTTTTTATTATTAATCAGAAAAATAATTGAAAATAGATATTAAAATGTTCAATTTAATCGAAAATCGATTATATTGCGCTCGTTTCAAATCGAATCAAAAATCGGTCTTTTTCTAATAAACGGATAGTTTGAAGTTTGAATTGTCAAGTTTCAAAATGAGAAGTTCTTTTTTGGTAGGTAGCATTTAGAAACGAGAATTTCACTAGTGTATTCTTTATGGTAATCGATTTATTGCCATGAAATGTTTTTTTTTTCTTTTTTCCTTATACGAATAATAAGTATATTTTATTTCCAAATCAACATCTCATTCAAAGTAAAGTCAAGCGTTTTCATTATATTTTATGAATCCGAAAAAATGTTAAATCTATTTTATTAATACAATCGATTTTCTAACTTAGTGCATAATTTACAGTATGATCCAGTTAATTAACTTCGGGCCCAAAACTCCTTTTTTAAAACCCGTTCTCCTTTTTATATATTTTTTTCGTAGACTTTGGTATGTCGGTCTGTAAGTATATTTTTGAAAAGTTATCGTAGTAAAGTATGGATTGTAGTGGTAGCTTTGTAGTTATATGACCAAATAAAAACACTGACATAAGGACGTACAAATTTGTTTTGGATCCAAATCGTGCATTTTGTGCTATTAAAATTGTACAGAACAGATTAAAATTGTTACAGGTAAAAACAATTACGTGTGCCACGACTGCGGTGTCGAATTCGAGCAACCGAATCCATTGAAGGTGCACCTGTTCCTGTCGTGTGGGGAGTATTCTCTAGCTACTTTCTGGGAGACGTGCATCGAACGTTTAAAGTGGGCGGAAGCAGGCCGGAGTTCTGCGTTCCAGCCGTACGGTGCGTCCACAAACGCCTGGCCTTCGCTGCCATTGTTACCACTGCTACCGTTGGCAGCCGAGGCAGCGGAGGCTGCGGAGGCGCTCGCGGCGGCGTGGGGACGGTCCCGCGGCGGCCACGCCTGCCTGTACTGCGGCAAACTGTACTCGCGCAAGTACGGCCTGAAGATACACATCCGCACGCACACGGGCTACAAGCCGCTGCGGTGCCGGCACTGCTTGCGCGCGTTCGGCGACCCCTCCAACCTCAACAAGCACGTGCGGCTGCACGGCGCGGGTGCTGCAGGGGGGGTCCACTCCTGCCCGCGCTGCGGCCGCACGCTGGCGCGTCGCCGAGACCTCGAGCGACACCTGCGAACCGCGCACCACCACCACGCACCCCTCCCTGCCCCCAAACCCGCATCCGCACCAGCACCCGCAACCGCACTAACCTGAACAACCGACTACTGCGGCCCATGGACATTAAAATTGTGGATACGTCTGTTTGAAACATAGAATACTATAATACATACATAATAGAACGGGGGAGTGGGCGGAGCCCGTGTAGTCACTAACATGTCAATTCACACCTATAAATGTCAATACAATCAATCATTTCCAATTTTCGTGTCAAGCGTCGCTGCATGCAAATATTAAAAAAAAAATACTAATTGTGCAATAATTACATGTCGAAAAAACAGCGGGAAATGGAATTTAAATAAAGGAGACATTTCTATAACCAGTAAGACGAAACTATTTATATTTTGTGAATATTAGAAACAAAAATATTGAAATATTGATGTGTCAAAAACATTAATCAAAAGTCTAAAATGTGTAAATTCGCTCAGTCAACACAGCGAATCGGGTTTGTAGTAGTGATTATATAGTTGATAAGCGTTATAGGTTGTATTTGTGCTCCCGGCGACACCGATCGTTGTACAAAATAAGGTTGACAGCTATTCTATTGTGTATTATAGTATTCTATGGTTTTAAACGCCCGAAGCACATTTCCACAGTTGCGATATGACTCGTCCATCCAAAAACTTCTTTGCCCACAGTCGACAGTATTCAAGAATTTCTTCCTCTTTAATCGTTTTTTAATTTAAGATTCAATACCAATCCTGGTATGACAAATTTATCCAAAATCTATATAAACTAAATCGCCTCTCGTTTCTCGTCTCTAATACAGTTTACAAGTAGGTATGCCACACTTGCCACTCGAGAAAAGTGCGGTTATACGAGAGGAACCGAATGCAACCGCGATTAAACCGTTGTATCATAACAAAGAAATATTAGTTTCGCTTTGGTCTTAAATATTAAAAAATGTATTGTAAAAAGTACCTTCCCCAGGATACTGCTATACCAAGTATACACAATAAGTGCCCAACATTCCTGAGCTTTACTGTTGTTATAAAATGAAAACATTTTATTAATACTACCCGTATACCTATCGTATTTATTAGTAACGATTACATACAACCGTTGTATATAGATAGTTAAGGTGATAATTTAGATAACATTAATTTGTTAATTAAAATATACATATAAATATATCTACCATGTTATTTATTAATTATTTCAACCTAGATTTTAGAAAGCAAATAAATTAATAAATTATGTTAAGATATTTTTTATCTTTTATTTAAAAAAAGGTAACCCATACACTAGGATTTTACATAATTTGCAATGTTAAATTTTAATTCACAACCATCTTTACTAAAAATCTAGTATTATTTAGGTACTGTGTGAGACAGATGCACTACGATTTCAAATAATCAAATCAAAAACCTTTTTTAGATAGATATTCTCTATAGGAGCACAAAAGTAAATAATAGTACTATTATTTATTCTGTTGTAACACAAACTACCAATCTTAATCACTCATAAGTGACAATCGGGAACCCGTAACTCGTCATACCACCCCACACACCCCACCACATCTGCAACAGAATCAGCAACAACGCTGGGATTATCCGGCGAGAAGCAAATCCGCTCCCCAAGGGTAGGATACAAAAAAAGACCGCATCCTATCCCAATCGGCCGACCTATAGTGCCAAACCAGCGGCAGCCTGTAGAATGCAACCGCGACGTTAATGTGACTGGCACCACACTCCGGACAAGACAAGGGTCCGACGAGCCTAGAGGTGCGTCGACAGATACACGATATCCGTCCGGATGAGAAGTCAGCAAAAGGTCCAACAGGGTAGGTGTATGATCTTCTACATTTGGTATCCGCGTAGGCGAAGTAACCAGTTGTGTCAGACCATATGCTGACTTGCCTACGCATAATCTACGCGATCGGTTAAACGTGAACCAAGCTTTTCGGCGTGTTGGGCTTTAAAATCGCCAAGGAGCTTACTTTCAAAACAGAAATAGGACGACGTGATAAAAGGAAGAATGGTGTATAAAAATATGTTGAGAATAATTAATTATATTTATTCAATGCCTTTTTAGGGAGAATGGAAGAAGAAGGGAAAAAATGGGCCCCAATATTGCTTTGATAGAGAGGAGCATTTTGTCATTTACCTAAGCATGGGGTTTAGCTGTTACTTTGCAATACATTGTATTCGTTTAAATAAACTCTTATTGAACTAACTGATTCAAAATTCGTCATTTTACATAAAATGTCACTAAAACTTGATATATATATATATATATATATATATATATATATATATATATATATATATATATATATATATATATATATTTTTTTGACCCGGTGTTTTTTTACTCTATGTGATGTTAATTGTTTCCGTTGTTGAAGAGGACATATTTGTATTTTTTCTAACAGCTCGGTGTTTTCTTCAGGCTTGTATATATCCCTTCAATCTTTAGACGTCTGCCGTGCGATGAGAATCACATCCGAAAATGAGGAAATATCTTTCTTACAACAGTTATGTCAGACCATGAGAGCCGGCGCGGCATTGCGTTTTCTCTAACAATCAAATCGTAAGGTAACAAAACAACAGTGATTCACACCTTTCGATTATTTTGCTAAATATATTATATTTTGAATATATAACGTATATTTCCTTACAAAATAAAATAACGGATGTACTTGTTGAACCGTAAGGGACTATAAATGATGATGTGTGAGGCCATACTTACCGTTTAGTTACATGGTATAGACGATACCTAATATATTACATCTTCTATACATATAATAAAAAAGTAGATTGCAAATGTCTGTACATTTTATATCTTTGTAATAAAAGTGATAGGGGGAGGGAACTAAAAATAAGTAAATAACTTACTTATATATATAATAATTTTACGTGGTAGAGCCATGCTGCAATTATATTAGTAGTATAGTTGTAGCACGAATGGGTCGGCTCGACCGGGGAAGGACCACGCTCTCACAGAATACCAGCGTGAAATAGTAGCTTAATGCTGCTGTATTTCGTATGGTGAGTGTAGAGAACTGGAGACCCTTTTTACTGAAAACGAGGCATTCCATCTTAGTCCTCACGGGTGACAACGCATCTGCATTTTGATTCGTAATCGAGGATAGATGTAGATGTCTATGGGCCACAGCAACCACTTACCATCTGGTGGACTGTGTGCTCGTTTGTCACCCTATCCTATAAAAAAAATACATTTCTACCATTTTTAGAATTGTCTGTCTGAGTTGTCGTTGAGTTATCAAGTGCATTTTAATCTTATATAGAAAAATTTTCATAACGATATAATTACCTATACCTATCTGAAACGCAGAACAACAAAAAATATAATTAACCTTATATATACAACATGTAACATAATTAACGCACTTTGAGAAAGTAGTTTGTTCAGAATCGTTTACTGAACCGATTCCTATCATTTTTAATATAGGTAAATTTTATCCCAAAAATAATTAAAACTACGTAAATTACAGTCACACTAAATCTGTACAGTCCAACCAAACTGAAATGGACCTTAACTTAAGAGAGTGCAGTTTTATTTGTATTATTACTAATTCTGTCATTCAATAAAAATAAAGAAAAATTAACTTTATTTCAAGCAAGTTAAAATCTTTGCGTTAGTGGATTGGTACTGTGACCACAACATTCTTCCGGAATTAGTATAACTAATTTGATAAATAATCAGTGCATTAAAATGTTTAACTAAAAATTCAGTGTATGTATTATGATTATAACATAATATACTAATTGGGGTGTCTGAGGGTGTGCGTTAATTACGTTACATATTATTATACATTTATATATATATATATATATATATATATATATATATATATATCATATATATATATATATATATATATATATATATATATATATATATACGTATCTAAAGTACAATAGTTAACCAGTGTCATCGATAGATGGTGGTGCTGTGCAAATGATATACATAATGGCAGGTTATGTTTTCCTTTCATGTAGATGTGTATTCATATTTGCTGCTGATTTTTATAATACTCGCTGACATACTACGTGTTGACAAACTTATAACTTATTTATAAAATTTTGAATAAGAAAGATTGCTTAAAATGTTTTTCATTACCGCATTACCTAAATGAAATTTAAAAAGTTGTTTTCGGCTAGGAACGAACTTTCTTCTTTGCCTACGTTTAAAAGTTCATGTATGTTTTATATAATGTATCAATCGCGTCGAAATTTTTCTTTTATTTTTAGAATTGATGTTAACAGCACCATCTCTCTTTAAATTTATACCTATAATAAAGATGGTGATTACCTGTGTCTATACATTTTATATTATATTTGTGACAAAAGTCATTAAATAAAAATAAATAAAATAAAAAAGCTTTTTATTTCTTCCAGAAAATGCTAGTTTACAAAGTTAATTAGTTTTGGTAGTATCAAAATAATTTAGTAATTTATTATATTAGTAGTAGTAACATTTTCATAAAAAGAGTTTTAGATACGTTAATATTATAGTGAAATTATTCTGTAGGAACCCCTCTGCAGGTAAAGGCCTCCTCCAAATTTAGCCAATTTTCTCCGGATTGCGCTGTTTGTATCCAGTTTGGACCCGCTGTGCGTTTAATTTCATCCTCTCATTTGTTGCGAGGTCTCCCTTTCTTTCGTTTGCCCACTGCCCCCCTCCATTCTGCCACTCTTTTTGCCCACCTTTGATATTGCAGGCGTGCTATGTGTCCGGCCCACTTCCATTTTAATGCAAGAGCTTGTGCTAAACCATCTGTTGCTTTTGTGATGTTACGTATTTTTGTATGCCTTATTTTATTATTCTTTCTATATTTAACATACTCCGCTCCATTCGTCGTTGGCACGTTATGACTTTATTTATAATATTTTTGTTAAACGTCCATGTCTGGCAAGCATAGGTCAGGCATGGTATATGGCAAGAATTCATAACCTTAGTCTTCAGTTTGATTGGCATGTTGCTCTCAAATATTTAAAGCTTTAAAGCTCCAGTACTTATTCCATGTTAGTTGGGCCCTGCTCTCAATTTCCTGGTAGTTGTTTAGTCTA